CCTCATTCCCATCTTGTCTCAGTTTTAACCTTCCTTCTGAGGGTATATTTATGATTAGATGAACTTATAAGATATTTGTATTTCACTATTAGGTCAGTTTCTTTGACTCTGATAAACAATAATACAAATATATATTATAAATAGAATTGTTTGTAGGTTGGTTTCTGGAAATAGTTCTAACATTTTATTGTTAACTTAGACAAGTGTGTTGTATATGTTTTGTTTTCTGTTTGTTAACATAAAACATCTGTTAGCTTGGAGCTTTCCTTTGAAGAGATACTTTCAAATACTTTGGCCCAAATCAGAACTAATTCTTGGTTTTAGAAAAAGTAAAGTATAATCCCAAAGGTTATTCTTTATACATATTTTCATCACTTTGTACCTCTAGAGCAAATTTTTAAAATACATTTTTATTGTTGATAGTATTACAGATATCTCCCATGAAAATTTTCCCACAAATTTTTTATGAATATGATTTACTTGCTAAAAAATAGAAAGGATGGTATTAAGGGTTTTGTTCACTTTTTAAAGCTGGATGTTAGAATTATGTATTTTGAAATTCATCTGAATGCAACTGGGCACAGCATTAAACAGTTCTTTAAAACATGAAAACCAAGACCCAGAACTCTGGAGAAAAGACATTCTTTCTAGAAAGTGGTAATTATGTCCAACAGCAGCAGCTCAAAGCAGATTATCCCAATCTCTCTCTCTTTTTTTCTGTTTAACTATAGTACCATTTGGAGATGGTACATCTTGTTGACCTTTATCTGGATCAGAGTTGGCCTGCACAGTTTCAAACATGTTCACCAAAGAATAAACAGCAATTTAAAAGCAAGGGCAGAGGCAGATAATAAATATAAGAAAAATGAAAAGAAAATTTCCCTATAAAGGTGGAGAGAAAGTGGTTTAGCTTTATCAGTTTTTACAAATCAGTGCTCTGTAATCTAGAGTTCAGCATTGTCACTAGACCATTTAACATGTCCCACTTTCAGTATAAGTATATTTACTGACCTTTCTCTTTTAAATTCAGAGACCTAACTCCCCAGGCACACTGGCAGGGTTCCCCTCGCTTCTCTCCTCCTCCCCTTTGCACTGTATTGTAGTCCGCTCTGTTTAACCAAGTAGTATACACTTATTCAGGGACACCCAGAAAAATTCGCAAAGAGCTCTTGTCTTTTTTTTTTTTACTGTAAAATCAATCAGTGCAGACATGTTCCTATACAACCAGTGTTACCAGCTATTTATTGGACCCCCGTCAGTGCATATTTACTAAGCATCTTTTTTGTTTTACTTTATTGTTTGCTAACTCATTCTGTCACTCTCTGCAGTGGCCTAAGCCAACAGAGGAGGAGAAAGGGGATCACCATTCATTGAACATACTATATACTTAGCTTTGACTTAAACATTCTTATGCAATCCTCACAACCACAGGGGTAGAGTGATATGCTATTCCTATTTTCAATCTGCAGAATCTGAAAAATGATTTTCCCCAAATCACCCAGCTAAGAAGTGACAGGTCCAAGATTTAACATTAATCTGTCTGATGCCAAAGCCCAAGGTTTTCTACTAAACCCCAGGACTTGCCTGCCCTTGGCCAAACCCTATTTCAGGACTGCAAGGGTGCTTTTGCATTTGGACATAAGCAGCAGCTTTCAGATCTTATGTAAGCTTAGGTGTGTGTGCGCGCTTATTAAGAGATCTTATTAAGCAGTGAGTTTCTTGATTTTCACAGTGTGAGGGAGATATTGGTTTCACATGGTTTTATGAATCACTGTATAGAAATAACTTTTCTATATAAGAATAAAATTATATACATTTTTAAATTACTTTTTACAAATCAATCCAAACATTAACTTTTAAAAATTCATCTCATCTTACCTTTGTATTAACTTGTTTTTGTTTATCTATTTCCCATTGAGATGATCAAGGAAATAGAAACTTTATTATGAACTAACTAATATTTAATATCGTTCCTGGTGTCTTAAGTGTTTGTTGAATAAATGACAATCTGTGAGTGGTAAACTTCTGTAAGGGAGGATTCTTCCTTTGCCTTTAGATTGGGCATCTTTCTTTTGTGGCTGTCTTTTGTAGAATAGACACAGCCATTCACCTCCTCACTCAAAGGTTTTCTGTCCTGACTTTCAGATCGGGGAAGGGGAGGAGTCCTATCTGTCTGCACTGTGGTGCTGATCTTTATGTAACTTCCAAAGTGAGAGGGCAGTACAGAGTAGACAAAAGAAAGTGTGTAGTTCCTTTAGTAAAAGTAATACAATTTTTCTTTTAAAAAATCGTAATTTTAAAATGGACATTCATATTTTTGTCCTTTGAAGTTAAGTTTTAATCAACCTATATTGTAAGTTATTTTAGTTATCTGATCAGCTCCCTTAAGATTGGAAGTTTGATTGATCTGAAAGTCAAGAGCTCTAATGTGGGCTGAGGAGGAATTGGGAATCGTGCATGGGGTCTCTTGAAGTCACTGTGAGAAAGAGAAAAGTCAGACTTCTTAGACTTTTTCACCCAACACTCTAGGCAGCGGTTCTCAACCTGAGGGTCGCGACCCCTTTGGCCATCTAACAACCCTTTCACGGGGGTCGCCTAAGACCATCCTGCATATCAGATATTTACATTACGATTCATAACAGTAGCAACATTACAGTTAGGAAGTAGCAATGAAAATAATTTTATGGTTGGGTCACAGCATGAGGAACTGTATTTAAAGGGCCAGAAGGTTGAGAACCACTGACTAGAGGTAGACAGGAAATCCTCTTCTTGGATGGATTAGAAATAGTCCCCTTGTCAAGCATCAGGAAGTCACCCAGACTTCTCCTCTTGCAGTCTACCCATTCCAACCCAGGTGAGGCCAGCTTCCCTCTGCCCTGTGCCCCCAGACCTCTCAGATTTCAGAAGACAATTGAGTGATAAACGCCTCTGCCATTGCTTGGATAGTCTTTTAAGTGCTGTACCCACTGTGGAAATGCCCGTTGAAAATCATAAGCCCCTATAGGAATAAAATGATCTGAAATATGAAGGGATTTTGCATTAAACAATGTTGTGTTTACTGTTATAAGAACTTATAAAAGCTAATATCGTGGCTTTCCATATTGATTTCTCAATAACAGATAATATACATTGACAAAGAGGAAATAATAAAGCAGCATATTAAACTGAAAAAAATCTTTTATATTTAACTTCGGTGTAGAAATTTACCTTCTAATTTTTAGACTTACATTATAATGAAAATTTACTTGGGAGAAATAATCTTTAACATTAGAGGAAAATGGAGAAAGGGAAAGTAGAATTATATGGGTCATTCACTTGAGTGTGAATCAAATTTTTTTAATTTTTTTATTGATTAAGTTATTACATATGTGTCCTTATCCCCACGTTACCCCCCATCCCCCCACTCATGCCCTCACCCCCTTGTTGTCCGTGTCCATTGGTTAGGCCTATATGCTTGCATATAAGTCCTTTGGTTGATCTCTCCCCCTTACCCCCCACCCTCCCCTACCTTCCCTCCGAGGCCCGACAGTCCGATAGACGCCTCTGTCTCTGGATCTGTCCTTTTTCATCATTTTATGTTGTTCATTATATGAGTGTGAATCAAATTTAATTGCATCTTAAGAACCAAAAAGTGAATAAATTTTATTTTAGAGAAAGAACCAGCCTGGATAGAATGTTGGGTTTTAGATTAAATAATTATTAAAGTCTAGTTTGAACTACAGAAACAGATACCTCAGGACGTTATAAATAATGATTTTGTTAAATTTTTAAAGGACATATTAAAAGGAAAATCTTAAGTTTCTAGCGCCTGTCCTTCTGAAACCCAACCTATACTAGAATAATATTTTGCATAAGTTTGTAGTTCTATTTAAATACTTTATTTTAGTATCAAACAGGGTGTGATTTTAGTACTTTAGTTCACCTCTGTTCTGTGTATTTTTAACAGCAAAATTAAATGTATTCTTTATGATTTGTTTAGTTTTTAATTATGTTCACTCAGGGCTATCGTTGGGAGACCATGATGCTAGTCTTGGTGCCTTTTGGCGTCAGCTTTCATTAAAGTCAGTGCACATTCTTGCCTTTGTCTTGCAAGGACACTGGTGTTAGTCATGCCAACTTGGATCAATTTCTGAGGTTTGCTGCAGGGAGCAAAATACTGAAATTATCATAAAACTAAACCATTCTTCTCCTGATTTTAAAATATGTAATCACAACACAAACTCAGGAGTGAGAACAGAATTTCTAGAGTCCAATAGTTTTTTATTTATTTGCCATATATAGGGTGTCCCAAAATGTATACATACACTTTGAATAATTGTAAAGGCAGTGTTTATGAAAATGTCTCATTTTCATTTAATAGCTACCAGCTGTTGCAGACATTTCTTGCCCAGACTCAACAAGCAGACACAGAAAAACGACTTTGTAAAAGGGAGGAGCAAGTCAATGACCTTTGGCTAGGAATAGCAAAAGTATGTTTCTGTTGTCACCCTGCCCACTGTGTGACATAGGTTCTGTAATCACTTCTACTTTAAATGAAGGCTGGTATCACGCTCAGGTGAGCTCTGAATGGAGCTTTCCCATCAAAAGACATTAATGCTGGTGTCTAAAGTACATTGAATATTTTTGTTGATCAACTTAAAGAGAACATGTTAATATAGAAATTTCATGTATGATGGAGTTGACCAATTGAATATTGAATGTGTTCGAATAGGATAGGAGGTTTATTTTCCCATTTTTCCTGTAAGCATACTGAAGTGACTTAAAAAATAACAAATTTTTCCTTCTAGGGTGGGCATGTTTTTGGTTAGTTATCCCTAGTCATTGGGAATTCACTCTTTGTGTTCAAAAGTTTAATTTTCTATATTCCAGACGATTCATAGAGATTAGCCATAGTTTATTTAACAAACAAAGCCACACAGGTGAATAGTGTTTTTTTTCTTTCAGAAAGAATTTACGTGGTTACTTTTCTTAAAAACATCTTTCCCATTTCATTGAGGCAGATTTGGAAGTCAAACCAGAAACTTCAGGCTCTACTACGATGGAAAGCACTTCGTTGGGGAGAAGCGCTTTGAGTCCATCCACGATCTGGTGACTGATGGATTGATTACTCTCTATATTGAAACCAAGGCAGCAGAATACATTGCCAAGATGACGATAAACCCAATATATGAGCACATAGGATACACAACCTTAAACAGAGAGCCAGCATACCAAAAACATATGCCAGTCCTGAAAGAGACACATGATGATAAAGATTCTACAGGCCAGGATGGGGTGTCAGAAAAAAGGGTAAGCTACCATGAAACCACACTTTATCTTCTTCTCTTTGGGGTCCTTATAAAAAAGTCATTACTGCCAGCAGAGATCGACTGCTCCTAGTGCTTTGAAAGGATATGTGTTTTCCTTAATGTCTAGTTTCAGTGGTCCTGAGCTTTCCACATATCTAATTCTTATTTAGTTAAAATATTTTAGGTGTATTTTTGTACTCCTGTTTATTTCCTATTTTATCAGTTTCACAGTTTTAAAAATATTTCCTAGTAAAAAGGTTCAGGGGTTTTGTTCAGAAGCATAAGTTATGGTCAAGAAAAGATGAATATATTACATAAGAGATTGATTATTTTTTGTTTCCCTTAAAGATAATTTCCCATAGAAATAGTTCTGTTATTTATAAAAGTGATATATATCCTTATTTTAAAAATATATTATTAAATTAAGTTTATTAATAATTCATACTATTTTGATAATCAGGATTTATTTCATTGTGGACTCTTAGGAAATAATTGAATCAGGAAGATTTACTTTTATTAATTATAAGAGAATTTCAGTTTTCATTCTTTAATTACAATGTATTTAAGGTTAACAACATCAGAGATTTTCATTTCTTGACACTAAGATTATTTTACTTTGAAAATTGTCCCTGGTCTTCCCTCCAATACAAGAAAAGTGGTGAATTTCCTGATGTTTTATGTCAGGGATGGGGAATGCCCAGTCTGAGGGCTGTGTAAAGCCTGAGAAACCATTTGTCTGGCCCTGCCAGAGGCTAATTTTTAAGTAGTTAATTTTGTATGGCCTGCGAATGATGTTGTAAATATCTAAATGCCCCTTGGCATAAAAAAGGTTCTTCACCCCTATTTTATATTGAGTGGGATTTAGTTGGGGGGATTTTTATGTATTTTTATTGGAATCATGTTAATTTGTTATAGTTAGTTGAGAATCTTTAAAGAAATGTAGTATTGTGTAGTGGTTTGAATTTGGATTCCGTCATGAAATAGATTAATGCACAGATTTTTCCATTTTACCAGTTGAGTGAATCTCAAAGTTACTTAACGTTTCTGTGCTTTGATGTACTTATATGTAAAGTTGTAATAATAATAATAAAGTTGTGAGGATTGATTGAACGAGATAGTATGTGTAAAACAATCAAACAGTGCTAGGAACATAGTAAGCACTCAATATGAATTTGGTGATAAGATTATTATCACAACCTCAAGGCAGCATCCTAAAATACTTCCAGTTATCTTGGAGTATTTAGGTACAGAATGGAAATTTAAAATGTTCATTTTCAGTCCAAATTTTAGTTTCTGGCAGGTCTTAGAGTAGCATTTTGTGGCTACAGAGAAACAAACATCTGAAATTATAGACTATGGAGAATTTGTAGAAAATGGTTTTTAATTTACTCATATTTGTTAGGAACCACAAATCTTTTGGGGAAGTGACCAGAATTTAGAATCCTAAGTGCATGCTGTATTTAATTTTCTGTTCACCCTCTAGTTCCCATTTTCTCACTTTGTTTTTTTCCATTCATGACATTTTTCAATAATGCTTATATTTAGATATCTAATACTGTTATTATGTTTTATGCAGATGTGCTTGAATATTCTAAGTCAACATTTGTGAAATATTAAAAAATGTATACAAGTGAGTCTTTCAAAGTTGATCAGCCTAATGATAACCTTTGCAAATGTGTTCTCTATATACTTTTTCGTCATCAAGGAACTTCAGCTAAAAACACTTAGCTGTTTAACATTGGTCTAGTGGTCACTTAACTTCCTGGGACCCGGGCGATCCCTTCCACAGAGTGAAAATAGTATTCACAGGTAGCAAGGCTCTGAGGTAGAGAGTGCCTACAGGACCCTGTTAGCGCTAGCATTCGTGGTTCCCTATGTATTCTGGCAACATTACATGTCTCATTACCTGGGTTTTCTCGTGCTGATGGCCAGTGATAGCTACATAGAGTGAAATGGTTGGCACTGGAAAATACCTCTCTCCAGCAGTATGCAATTAAGAATCAATTTAAAAATTACCCTTTGCTTTAAACTGCATGCATCTTAAATCTAGTTGACAAAATCTACTTACTCAAAAATAGATTTATTTTATTTACAGGTGTCATCCAACAGGACAGGGATGATGACCTGTTCAACAGCTTGAAACATTGATTCCCTGTCAGAGTGGATGACATTTGTAAGTAAAAACAATCATGTTTAACTGATTTAAATACCTGTTGACACAAGTATAGTTTAATAAATATTTCACTGGGTCCTGAATAGCTGAAGCCCCTCTTGTTCATGACTCCTTTTCCTTAGAGGTAAGAAGTGTTGCTCTGCAGGAGTAGGTGTGCTGTGGTGGAAGGGACACTAGTGCTGGAATAAAGAGCTGGGTTCTAGTTCTACAGGAATTGACTTCTGTGAGACTGCATTTCCCCACCTTCCGTAGGAGGGCTCTGGACTGGGTGATCCCCAGCATGGCTCCTACAGTGTGTGATCCTCAAGGAGTGCAGGTGGTGAGGGGAGATGACACAGTACCCAAAAGAGCATGTTAACGTGGTCTTGAAAGGAGAAGTCTGTTTTTAGCTTGCATTAAGTTAAAGTTTCTTTTGCTTAGTTCAGGTTAGGATTACTCAAGTCATTTTAATAGACTTTCTAAATTCAGAATTTTGTTTATTTTTGCAAAATGGCTTTTTGCCCTTTATGTAAAAGATTTGTTTCCAGACTACTTAATGCTGTAAAAATAAATATTTCTTTAGGAATAAGGATAACCAAAAATTTAAGTTTATAAATTTATTAACTTCAGGGATAAATTAAAATCATAAACAATTGTTTTCCTTGGAATAATCCATGTCTTTAAAATCTACAAAACTTTTACGTGAGAGAAACATTTCTGAATTTGTTGAATATAGAAAGTTATGTATTAGCTTCCTATGTAATCATAACCAAGCTTGTGTATTCTTCTGAGTCACACAATTCTAAATTAAGGAAGCTTTTTGAGGGGGGAGGATTTTCATAATTTCTATCTGCAGCTTGCACAGGGATGTTTAGCTGAAACTATTATTTAAAACAGAATTATTTGATATCATTTGGACATAATATTTTAATTAGCATGTATTTAAATGTGAATAGTGAATACCCTTTGTCTCTTGTAGGTAAAGCCCTCCCCCATACCTTTGCCTAATTAATGAATATAACAGATGCTTTTTAAAATTTTATTTTTCAATTATAGTTAGCATTCAGTATTATTTTGTATTTCAGATGTACAGCAGGGTGGTTAGGCAATTATATACTTTACAAAGTGTTCCCCCCAGTACCACCTGGCACTTACATAGTTATTACAATATTATTAATATGTGTTACAGATGCATTTATTTAGGAGCAGTGTTCATAGTTACTGCAAAGGGTTTGATTTTGTTTCATTTTATATATATATATATATATATATATATGACTAAATTCATAGTGATATTGGATTATAAACCAGTGTTTTTAATATTTTAGTTTCATATAAAAATATTTTAAACTTTTAAGCTAAATTTGTCTCTCTCTATGACTGAATAATTAAATAGCAATGAATCTTTAACATTTGATCTTGTTTAAGACTCAAAAAGAATTTTGTAGTCCTATATGCCAGTGTTTGGTCATAGCTTTGGAGCAGTCCATAACATCTGGTTCAAATGCTCTTTGTGCTATTCCTTTTCTCTCTTAATTCCTTACTTTTTTGAGATGTGTTTTCTACAAAGATCCACCTTGACTCCTCAAATAGAAGCACTTATAAAGGAGCTTTTATTATGATACTAGAGGCCTGGTGCACAAAATGTGCACTGTGGGGGGCGGGGGGGGCGGTGGTCCCTCAGCCCAGATTGCAAGAGGGCACAGGCCAGGCCGAGGGACCCCACCAGTGCACGATCAGGGCCGGGGAGGGACACAGGAGGTTGGCCAGCTGGGGAGGGACTGTGAGAGGGCTCCAGGACGTGTCTGGCCCATCTCGCTCAGTCCCGATTGGCCGACCCCAGCAGCAAGCTAACCTACTGGTGGGAGCATCTGCCCCCTGGTGGTCAGTGCACGTCATAGCAAGCAGTTGAGTGGACTTAGGATATCATTAGCATATTATGCATTGATTGGTTGAACGGAAGGCCGACACTTAGCATATTAGGCTTTTATTATATAGGATTATCTCTTATGTACCCAACCATCCTCTTCCACCCACCCACCCCCAATAATCAATGTTTTCATTGGGCATCATCTTGAAACAGCTCTGGATAGTTGTCTTATGACTTAGTGATATCACTCTAAGTATGTTGTTAATCTCCCTTGACCTGAGGTAGAAAATGAAGGACTCAGCTTTCCTAGATGACATTCAGGTCCCTTCTAGCTGTCACGATTCACTACCCATAAGTTCTCTTTGTTAATTCTCAAGAGGTTTTCAGACATAAGATTCTGTATTTCTGAGAACTTAACTATTCTAAGAGGTAGAATAGGCTGCAAACATGTAGATTTAGGTGTAGGCTTGGCTCTGCTTCTTAACTAGGATTGAATCTTTGAGCCAGTTACATAATTTTCTTTAGCCTCAGGAAATCAAAGGTCTCTTCTAGCTTTTCAGTGTACATTGCTAAGGGTTGGAAAACTACAAATAATAACAGAAATAACTATAATTATTAAGCCTCCATGTGTCAGAAAATATACTAGGTACTTTACCAGATTATGTACTTTAATCTTTATAGCATACTTTTGAGGGTAGGTATTATAATAACATCAGTATCTTTGGGGGACATAGGTTTATGGTAAGTTACCTAGGGATTCTTGGGGTGTGTTTTAATAGTGTATCCTTTATTTTAAAAACTGAAATCAGAAGACAGCCAGACCCTGTTACCAAATGCCCCTCCCTTCATGTTATCATAAAAACTAAACATTAGACTGTGCCAGTATTTAGACTAAGCTGATCACTATATTTTGAGTAATTGGATTACTCCAAAGGGAGACGTTAAAACCTCCTGGAACTTGTCCAAAGGAAGTTGCAGC